CAAAGATACATTTAGTTATATGTACATATACATGATTTACAGTGTAAAGTATGGTAGTACCGTTGGGAGCCTTTTTTTTGAGGGCTTTAAATTTCACAAATTGGCCTAAAAATCTATTTTGTGGATTTATTTTTTGTGATTGTATTCCGTCTGCCATCTTGTACCATATAATAATTTGATTTTTGCGGAAGTAATTTTTGCGAATCTTCAAAAAATCACAAAATTTACGGCTCTCGAAAAAAGGCGCCCTACTGTACGTGTACATGTATTATCTTCTCTATCTCTGTCGTTAGGTTTTTGTATGTCTCTATTCAACTCTCCATCACAAATCAGTCTCGATCACCTCTCTCTCTTATCCAGGCTTCTTCTAAACTGGCCGCCTCCTTTTCTTTTTCCCGGTAGGGCATTCTAATTAGTGCCCACCTCTACTTTGTTTTTCTCTGTAGTTCTTGATGTGATTCGCTTGTCTTTTTTGAATAAGGGCTGCTCTCAATTTTTGACAACTACACCAAATTTCATGCAACTTCTCCACGATTTGTCATGGTCAGAAGATATATTATTATTTTCTGCTCTTCAAATTTTGATTTATACAATTATAGAGAATTTATTACTTACCCAAGGCTATTATACCCCCATGATTTTTTTCAAAAATGGCTCCGAAATCACCCCCAATTTTTATTACATTTTCTGATACATATTGATGTACTTATGCTACGTAGAAAGTTTGAACTGATTCCGACTTCAAATTTTCAAGTTATGGCCATTTTAAAAAAGCAGCCAAAACTGAAAAATACCCAAGGCTATAATAGCCCATGGTTTTTTTCCAGAAAATGGCTCCGAAATCACCCCCAATTTTTATTACATTTTCTGATACATATTGATGTACTTATGCTGTGTAGAAAGTTTAAGCTGATTCTGACTTCAATTTTTTGAGTTACGGCCATTTTAAAAAATCGGCCAAAATCTGAAAAATACCCAAGGCTATAGCCCATGGTTTTTTTCAAAAAATGGCTCCAAAATCACCCCCAATTTTTATTACATTTTCTGATACATATTGATGTACTTATGCTATGTAGAAAGTTTAAGCTGATTCCAACTTCAAAATTTCGAGTTATAGCCATTTAAAAAAAGTAGCCAAAATCTGAAAAATACCCAAGGCTATAGCCCATGGTTTTTTTCCGAAAAATGGCTCCAAAATCATCCCCAATTTTATTTAATTTTTTATTGCCCTTTTGCTACGCACAAAAATTTCGATTAAATATTGTTAATATTTTTGTAAATTTTTATTTCAGTGGCCCAACAGCTCAGCCTAAGAACCAGCTTCTCGTGTTAAGAATCATTTGCAATTCCTTCACTTCACTTGAAGAATGGGCACCATCAAATAAGGAGCAGGTAATATATTCCAAACCTCAACTACCGAAGTATAATATTTGCATGTAAAGCACATACCATAGGACGCCTTTTTTTGAGGGCTTTAAATTTTGCAGATTTCATGATTTTTTTTGAAGATTTGCGAAAATTACCTTCCGTGAAAATCCAATTATTACAGTACAAGATGGCAGATGGTATAAATTTGCGAAAATTAAATCCGCAAAATAGATTATTAAGCAAATTCGCGAAATTTACAGCCCTAGAAGAAAAGGCATCCTATTGTATATGTGGTGTTTTGAATTGCATTATGTTGCCCTCTTGTTTTTAATTAGATTTTTGTCATTATTAATAATTTATTGGAAAGCCCTGGACTTGGAAAGAATCAGCAAACGTCACTTGCAGCTGTCGTCATTAAGTACATGCATACAGTGTTCATTATATGTTCATAACATCTTTTGTCATTAATTATATAGCTACAGCTGCTACTTTGGTAAGGCTAGGGACAGGAATGAGGGGATTGTTGATTTAGTTCAAATTATCACAAAAGTATTATTATGAAGTTTTATTGTTATTTTTATGTGGTTTATGTCTTTTAAAGGTTTTAAGTACAGCTGGAATGAGTGATGAGGGAGTTTATGGAGCTCTTATAAGCTTAGGAACACTGGTAAGGAAGAGAGGGGGAGGAACTATCAATTTTGATAGCTATAATAATAATGATTGTTGTAACTCGATCCCAAATACTTAGTTATTTTTGTTCTTTTTATTAGCTATCAATGAAATCTGAGGAGAGTGTATCAATCCCACCTATAGTTCATAGCATTTTAGCAACACTTCTTGATAGTGATATAACAAAGGTATGCATGCATGTACATGTTAGTCTCTATTATAAGGACACCATTATCATGAAGACATTTTTGTAATGTCCCAATTCATTTTAGATTTCTGATTGTTCCCTGTTATTGCTGGAGTCTTTAAACCACTGAAAAGAGAAAGAAAAGATACTTATTTATAATGTTTAAGATTGAGTTTGATCACATTTGAACTTATGATTATTATTAATAATTTTTACCATAAAAAATTACTAAAATAAAATTATTAATAAAAATTCCTAAATTATGATTACGTCATTGTCATAACTGTTGTGGGCGTGGCAGTACAACATTTTCTCAATTCTCATTCTCGACCAGAAAAAACATGAGTAAGTTTGCTGTTTTTATTTATTTATTTATCAACTATCTCCCTTTCTCTGTAGCTTCTTCTTACTTATATTTTCTGGTTCCCGTGGTCGCTATCGTGATCGGCTTGAAGTGCTGTCTCTTGTGCTGGCGGATACATTACAACCAACAGGTAGAAATACTCGTCTTATCTCTCCTACGATGTTGTCATAACGAGTGTTATCGTATTATTTTTATAGAGAAGGAGGATTAACGAAGCCAGAGAGGCTCAAATTCACAATGCGGCTATTGCTCGGGCACAAGCTGCTAGGTAAGAATATTATGAAAGACAAAAATAGTACATGTATGTTAAAGAAGTGCTTAATTTTGATGATATGCTTTTATGTCAATACACTATACGACTAGCAAGTTTATCGTAATCCTTAATAAATAAAGCTGCCATCATTTTAAAGTAGTTTCTTTTATCAGAAGTTCCTCTGTGTAGGCTGTAGCAATTGGTATACCCATATTAAGGTAATTTTCGAGGTGTATTAAAATTTCGTTATTTTCGTGCTCACCTTAAATCCACAAAATTTAAACCATCTCTAATGCCATTCTAAATTTTAAGCACTCGAAAATTTGAACGTACATGTATACGGTATTATCAGGTACATGTGCATGTATTGTTCAAAGTTGTAAAGGGATGCTTTCCATTAACACGGCAGAACTGTAAACTTATATAGCGTCGTTTCCCCTCACAAATTCATGTAAACAACAAGTTTGTCAATTCCTGGCATTGAAAAATTAACGTAAATAACAAATTATTATTGTTATTATTACTATTACCAAATTGTAGTGTTACGTCTAGAGAATTTATGTATTAAAATAACTTTTACCTTTAGTGCTTGTACTAAAAGCTGTTTACTGTTTTTCACTTTTAAGCGTAGCTACATTTGTCCTAAATAGCTACATTATGTTACAATCGGAAGCGTAAACCATATAAGTCTTCTAGCTCTTCCTTGTAGCAGTATAAGCTCCTTCATTGTGTTTTCAATGATACTTTTGCATCATACATGTACATGTACATGTATACCTAATACCATAATATCTTTCATGAATAGCTTTATATACTTGATTGCTTGAAAGTAAAGGTGGGTTCTCAATATGATGCATGTGCGTCCATCACGACTGGAAGTGCTGTATAAACCAATGGGAGCATGCGTCAATACGTCAGATTAGAAAACATTTCTATTCTGACGCATTGACGCATACTCCCATTGGTTTATACGGTACTTCCGGTTGTGACGCTAGCGCATGACTGACAATGCATCATATTGAGAATCAACCTTAACACATTAATACAGACATAAGTTTGCTAATAGCTTAATACATACACAAACTACATGTGTAGCAAGTTTAAAATTCTTTTTCCTATTATGAAATAGTCCCTTCTTGTATGTAGTGAAAGTAAAAATACATTAACTTCCTCTCTCTTCTTTTTATAGGATGGCGGCCATCACTCGGTCTGCCCCGCCCGGAACTTTCGCCCAGCTTGTCACCCGGAGGCCAGACGGTTCTCAACAAGTCTTCCTAATCCCAGCGAACAGTATTTCTCAGCGAAACCCTAACCCCGCAGCCTCTTCTCAAGTGAATCCTACTGCTAGACCACATCCATCGGCCCCGCCCCAACGCCCACGCACAATATTTATCACACAAGATGATCTCGGTTTGTTGAGTCATGCTTGCCGTAGCAGTGATCCTAACTTGCCTCCTACGTATGATCAAGCAATCACTGGAAAGGACAAATCTGTGAAAGTTGAAGAAGATGGGGTTGGTGCTGATCCTTCTGTGAAACAAGAGGAGGAGGAGGAGTTTCCGCCTTCTTATAACGATGGCGAGGATGAGAGGCCACTCCTACCGTAATTGATATATCATAATAAGAAAATATAATTTCTGCAGATTTTTTTGTTTCACTATTAACAATCGTTTGTACGTGTATTTTGTTGGACTAAAAAAATTATGTTATTTTTAAAAATAGATCTGTCCTCATTTTCATTTTTTGTTGTATAATTAATATTATTGCAGTTACAATTATTATTCTGTGAATTGTTATTATTAATTTTTGTGGCTATTATGACGTCAATGGCTTGTTTTCTGCAGATCTGCGCATGCGCACTGTCGCCATGGTATCCGTTACTATGGAATCTGATGACGTCACAACTTCTGAGCTGAGATTTCAGAGCGAATCTTTGTTTGAACTTAACTCAATCTCTTCCACTCTATTTGTTATAAGCTGTAGGAAAGCATGTCTGAGGAAGCCGACGTTCTCTTAAGCAAGGCCAAGCTAGCCGAGCAATCCGAAAGATACGAAGACATGGTCCAATTCATGAAGGAATTTGTAGAGCTCAAAAAAAGGATAGCACCCGAGGAGCGAAACCTTCTCTCCGTTGCTTTCAAGAACGTCGTTGGTGCCCGCCGTTCCTCCTGGCGAGTCGTGAGCAGCATCATCGCCAAAACAAATGATGAAGGCAAGTCCAAGCTGGCCGAGGCCTACAAGTCCAAAATAGAAAAAGAGTTGGACGAAACCTGCCACGAAGTCCTGAAGCTCCTCGACGAGAAACTCATCAAGCAAGCTGAGGAGGAGGAGGATGCCAAAGAAGAAGCGGTATTTTACCTGAAAATGAAAGGAGATTATTACCGTTACCTCTCTGAGGTGAAGACAGGAGATGATAAGGAGAAAGTTGTTGAAAATGCAGATAATGCATATAAAAAGGCCTCCGAGTTAGCAGCTGAGAAGCTTCCCACTACGAATCCTATAAGGCTTGGGCTTGCTCTTAATTACTCCGTATTCCATTACGAGATCAAACAGAGCTGCAAGGAAGCCTGCGATTTGGCTAAGAAAGCTTTTGACGATTCCATAGCTGAGCTTGACCAGCTTCAGGATGACACGTACAAAGACAGTACCCTTATTATGCAGCTCCTCCGTGACAACCTCACTCTTTGGACGTCAGAGAATGACTCGAAAGATGATAAGGACGACGAGGAAGGGAAATAAGTCCAAATTTTAAAGAAACTTTTTTTTGAATCTCTTTGATTCCTTCATTATTTTAACATTATTATTATTATTATTATTGTTGAGCTTTAATTAATTGTTTTAGGATAATTTGACATTGTATGTGTTACCATTGTTAATTTCTTATTATTGATTGGTTTTTCACAAGAAAAATAAAAATCTTGAATTCCTCTAGCCACACCCACAGATCATCGATGACGTCAAACTAGGAAAATATTTTACTATAATTTTAGCTCATTAGCTGTACAGAGAATTGAGCACAATACGGTTTTGCTGTAATTCATTGAATTGCTCTGCGTCAATTGTCTGTGTCATCAATAGTAGATAATGTCAGCTTCAAGAAGTGAATTGTGCGAATGGGCCAAATTGGCTGAGCAGTGTGAGAGGTACGACGACATGTGCTCTAGAATGAAGTCTTTGGTGGAATCCTTAGCCGACGATACGGATTTGTCTACCGAGGAGAGAAACCTTCTCTCAGTCGCCTACAAGAACAAAGTGGGCGCTAAACGATCCTCATGGCGAGTCATAAGTAGTATGGAACAGAAAAAATCAGAGAATAAAGAGCTAGCAACCGATTACCGAGGTGTAATTGAGAAAGAGCTTGATAGCGTTTGTAATGAAGTCCTTACATTACTTGAAGACAAATTGATAAAGAAGGCAACTGAAACAGATGCTAAAGTGTTTTATCTCAAAATGAAAGGAGATTACTATCGCTATCTTGCTGAGGTGCAGAATAAAGACAATAGGGATACGGTAGTATCTAATGGTTGCGAAGCTTATAAGAAGGCTCAGGAAGAGGCGGAAAATTTACCTGTGACCCATCCAATTAGGCTTGGGCTTGCCCTTAACTTCTCTGTCTTTTACTACGAGATTATGAACGATAATGAGGAGGCTTGCAAGCTTGCAAAAAAAGCTTTTGACGATGCCATTGCCGAGCTGGACACACTGAAAGAGGATAGTTACAAGGATAGTACCCTCATAATGCAACTACTTCGTGACAATCTCACGCTCTGGACAACTGATATTGACAATCAGCAAGAAGGTGGTGATGACGATTAAGTCTAAACTTGCTACTTGACTCAGAAACCTTCATTTGATATTTTTAAAATTATTTCTAATACAATGTAACATTAGAATGAAAATAATTAATGATAATAGATTTAAAATAGTAGGCGTACTTTAGAAAATAAAAACAAATTATTTCCATTTGACGTCACAAACAAAATAATTAGGTTTTTCATTTTTTTTGTCATTTAGATACAATACGGTATTGCTCTCTCTTTCTCTCTAGCTTCGTCACCGTCCGCCCCTTTTGTCAGGTAAAGCCAACTTCTTTGTACAAGCCAGTATCATGTCTGATCCAAAAAGTGAATTGTGCGACTGGGCCAAATTAGCTGAGCAATGTGAAAGGTACGACGACATGTGCTCTAGAATGAAGTCTTTGGTGGAATCCTTGGCTGACAATACGGATTTGAATACCGAGGAGAGAAACCTTCTCTCAGTCGCCTACAAGAACAAAGTGGGCTCTAAACGATCCTCATGGCGAGTCATAAGTAGTATCGAAATGAAAGCGGAGGGCAAAAAGAAGGAGCTAGCATCCAAGTACAAAGAGGTAATCGAGAAAGAGCTAGAAGGAGTTTGCAGCGAAGTTCTAGGGCTACTTGATGATGTATTGATAAAGAATGCGACTGCATCAGAAGCGAAAGTATTTTATCTTAAAATGAAAGGAGACTACTATCGCTATCTTGCCGAGGTGAAGAAGGATCAAGATAAAGAAGAGTCCGAAAAAGCTTGCGAAGCTTATAAGGATGCTGTTGAAGAGGCGAAAGAGTTACCCGTGACCCATCCAATTAGGCTTGGGCTTGCCCTTAACTTCTCTGTCTTTTACTACGAGATTATGAACACCCCAGATAAAGCTTGCGAGCTTGCGAAAAGAGCTTTTGATGATGCCATTGCAGAGCTGGACACACTGAAAGAGGATAGCTACAAGGATAGCACCCTCATAATGCAACTACTTCGTGACAATCTCACTCTCTGGACGGCTGAAGATGGTAGAGATGATGATGCTAAGGATGACGATAATTGATCAGACTTTGCATGTGCCTTTCTGTGCAAGCTTTAGACCTTTATAATTATTTTAGCTGTGACTGATAAGTAACTGTATTGTTATTATTATTATTATTACTACCTTAGTTTCTAATTAAACGAATAAAGCGGAATGATATATTACGGTAGATTAACACATTCGAACTCAACCAGTGTGACCTACACCTTCTCAAGTTCTCTCTCTTTCATTCTTCTCTGTCTTTTAAAAAGCCATGTCAGTGAATGCTAAAGATCTGAGCCCCGAAGAACTAATAGGGTACGCCAAACTAGCCGAGCAGTCTGACAGATATGAGGATATGGCTAGATACATGAAAGCTTATGTAGAGAAAGATTCTGAACACCTAGATGCTGAGAAAAGAAACCTCCTCTCCGTCGCTTACAAGAACGCCGTAGGCTCACGTCGCTCTGCCTGGAGGGTAATCTCGAGCATAGAGAAGAGGGAGGAAGACAGGAAGGAGGGACAGGGGTCCATTAAAGAATACAAAAAGACGATTGAAGGAGAGCTTACCGGTATATGCAATGAGATCCTGGGCTTACTTGATAAGATATTAGAATCTGCTAAAGATATCGAGTCCAAGGTCTTTTATCTTAAAATGAAGGGCGATTATTATCGCTATCTTGCCGAAATCAAACCCGAGGGTGAGGGTAGAGATGACGTTGTCTCCAAGGCTTTAGAAGCGTATCAGAAAGCTTACGACGACAAGGAGAGCCCTGATGACAAAAAGATGGACTCAACGAACCCTATCAGACTTGGCCTCGCTCTTAACTTCTCTGTCTTTTATTACGAGATTAAGAACGATCGGAAAGAAGCCTGTTCCCTCGCCAAAAAGGCATTCGATGATGCGATAGCTGATTTGGACAAGCTTCAAGACGAGACATACAAAGATAGCACTCTTATATTGCAGCTCCTGCGTGACAACCTTACCCTCTGGTCAGCCGAATCCGACGATGGGAGGGATGATGAAGAAGGCGATATGGATAATAATTAGCCGATGGTAGTTACTTATTGGTTTTTCACACCTAGAAACTTTGTGTGTGCATGTAAATTTTTCTTCTCTTAACTCTGACTTGTAGGGTTTTTCTATAATTTTAGCTATAACTAACATACATGTATTAGATGATTCATATAATAAAGAATAACGATTCTTTAATAAGTGATACTAATTATTTTAAAATGATAAATAACGATTATTATTGATTTAAAATTTTATTTTTGATCCCTTGTTCTGCGCATGCGCAGTAGGCGTTCCCATCAATTCCATTTGGCACACACCACTCAATTATTTTATTTCAGGCAGATTCCATTTCAAGACTCAGTCACCCCTGCTGGAATAATCATGTCACAACTTGTACAAAAGGCTAAGTTGGCCGAGCAAGCAGAGAGATATGAAGACATGAAGGATTTCATGAAGGCATATGTAGCCGAATCCGGCAGCCTCAGTTCTGAAGAAAGAAATCTCCTTTCTGTTGCTTACAAGAACGTGGTGGGTGCTAAGAGATCCTCTTGGAGGGTTATTAGCAGTTTAGAGCAAAAGAGTGGCATTGCTGAAGAAAGGGCTACAATAGCTAGAAATTATCGCAAGCAGATAGAAGGAGAGCTCAAGGAAATGTGTGACGAAGTCACTGGTCTCCTGGACAAGCTTCTTGAACCTGCAAATGATGATACTGAGTCGAAAGTGTTTTATCTGAAAATGAAAGGTGACTACTTCCGCTATCTTAGTGAAGTAAATCCTAAGGATGACGATATCAGTGACAAATCTGAAGAAGCATACAAAGAAGCTACTAAAGTGGGAGAGGAGGGCAAATTAGCGGCTACACATCCAATCAGGCTAGGGCTTGCCCTCAATTTCTCCGTCTTTTATTACGAGATAAAAAATAAACCAGACAAAGCTTGCGAATTGGCTAAATCCGCTTTCGATACTGCAATCGCTGAGCTAGACACCCAAACCGAGGAGTCGTACAAAGACAGTACCCTTATCATGCAGCTCCTCCGTGACAATCTCACTCTCTGGACATCGGAGCAGGATGGCAGAGATGAAGATGAAACTGGAGATAATTGATCCACAAGACTAGGCCATGAGTCAATCTTCTCCCTTCGTTACTTTCCTAACTGATAATTGCTATCAATAATCCATAATAATGTATAGGCCTGTTTTTTCTTTACTGTAATCTATTAGGGTTTACTTTTAGTGAATATTCTATTTATACACGATCCCTTTGATTTTATTTTGTTTCTATTATTATTATTATTACTATTATGTGTTACTATGTCATACATATTAATACATTTTGGACCTAAATCAGTAGATAAATGGCCTGGATGGTGGTACTAATGACACGTTGAATATGGCATTAATTGCTAAGGCCAATCAATGACTCAAAACCCCCGCCATTTTAGTTTAAGCCACACCTCTTTCCAGCACGTCACTCACGTGTTTGTTGCAGATACATGTAGATCTACATAGTTCTGTCATCCTTTTTGATATATCAGCTGAGCTGAGCTGAGGCTTCTATAGGGAGAATGGTGTTTGAATCTGTCCTTGTTGACGTGCTCAACAAATACCTCAAGCCTTATGTTAAGAAACTAGACACTTCGCAGCTTAAAATAGGAGTGTGGAAAGGTGAGTCTGTGCCATTTTTTAACTGTATGTATGTATGTATGTTTTTCCTATCTTTTAAAAGGTAATGTTAGTCTTGGAAAATTGGAACTGAAGGAAAACCTATTTGTGAGTTAACTGTGTTATGTAATGCCGTAGATCTATAGCCAGAAAATTGGCAAAGAATTATAATTATTGGATATTTGTCAAAAATTTAGCAATTGGTTGTCTCGTCACCTCAAAGGGCGGGGCAATGAGACTAAGCAATTGGCTGATTATATATTGACGGCTTGGCAGCCTATTTTTAATCATAGTGTCATTAAGCATGCTGTGAATGAAACATAAAATGGCAGATTTTTTTATTGCACTGCCAATGATAGTATTATTTCCTTGCCAATATATAGAGAGCATGTGCTCTTGTTCCATTCCCTGATTTATATTATTATAATAATTTGTAATTTTTATTCTTTTTGTAGGAAGAGTTTGACCTTCCATTGGCAATAAGATGCAGTCATATCGGTATAAAATACTGACTCTTCTCTCTCCCTCTCTCTCTCTCTATCCTCACAATGTTTCTCTTTCATTTCACAATCTTATCTCTCTATTACCACATATAGGCAGTATTAAGATGAAGATACCATGGAAGAGCCTCGGAAAGGATCCAATTCTCATTAATATCGATGAACTCTACGTCATTGTAGCACCAAATCTAAGTAAATCCTGTACATGTACATATATGGTGATAGCGCACCTTATTTAATGTAGTTTTTGTTAGGAGATAAAATTATTTTTGTGTGCGTGTGTATATATAAAAATAAACTATGTTGTAATGTGTCTGTATATATATTTGATACATTTTTTAATAGTTTGTGTGTTAGTATTATTTTATTATTATTTGTACATTATTTTATTGCATTAGACCAGCCTTATAATGAAGAGAGAGATCTGAAGAGAAAGAGGAAAGAGAAAGAGGCGCAGATAGTGAAGGTCGAAGAAGCTGCAAAAAGATTGAAAAACAGTAAGATTAATAATTGTATATGTACGTGTACATTAATGTATGTTGATGTACATGCACATGTATAGTCAGTAGAACGATGCTTAATTTAACTAATTGACTGACTTTCTTTGTTCCTACTTTTTCCTACATCTTTCTCCTCTCTCTCTCTCTCTCTTTCTCGTCAGAGCTTAAGAAGAGGAAAGCTAAAGAGGAAAGCGACAAGCCCGACACTTTTACCGAGAAGCTAGCAGCACATTTAGTAAAGAACCTTCAGGTATATCTACGAATATCCTTCTTCTTTGTATTGACATCTTCCCCCCTCTCTCTCTCTCTGTCTCTCTCTCTTCTTTTCTTTAGGTTAAAATTCGTGATGTTCACGTGCGTTACGAAGACAGCGTGACTAATCCTCACTCGATAATTGCAGCTGGAGTCACTCTCTCTAGCCTTGAGCTAAAAGTAAAATAAATAATAACTAAACAATTAAGTTTGTAAATATTATGATAATGTGGGCATGCTCAACTCATCAATTGCGTGGGTGGGCTCAATTACATGCATGCGTACATACATGTACATGTATTAATAAATTTTTTTCTGGTAGAGCACTGATTCTGAGTGGGTTCCATGTGTTGTAAAGGAGACAGCTACTCTTATATACAAAGTAATCTTGTACAGGATCATATTTAATATTGTTGTATTAAGACAATTTTAATGTCTGTGTATTATTTTTTTCTTGTACAATTTTTACATAGAAGTACATGTATTGTTATTGTTATTGTTGTTGTTATTGTTGTTGTTGTTGTTTTTACTGTTTCTAGTTGATAGAGTTGAATTCTTTAAGTCTTTACTGGAGTCCTGTTGAACAATGCCTGTCACAATTGCCAGGAGATTCGTGGATAGTAAGTGATGATTATTCAATATTGTTGTTGTTGTTGTTGTTGTTGTTGTTATTGTTTGTTGTTTATAGACTGCTCTGAGAGAAAGAATAGCTAGGCCTGCCTTGGAACCACCTCCAGTCAACACTTACTGTGAGACTAAGAATAAAATACTTCTTCTTATTATCATTATTATTATTATTATTATTATTATTATTACAGTGCTATCTCCAGTCTCTGCTGCTGCTAAGATAAAACTTAACTTAAAGCCCGGCCTTGTCATGAACATACCACAGGTAAGGAAGGAGTCTCTGTACGTTGAAACTTGAAAAGGGTCAACTTGAGCTTCTACAAAAGCTATTATAGAAATGGCAGTGACAATGCTTTAGAGTTTACAGTGTCAATGAAGCCTTAAGCTATTGTAATAAGACAAGACAATTGATTTGATAATGAGAGGGAAGAATAGAGTGTTGAGCTACTTAAATACCAAATACATGTACATACTGTACATGTACATGTATGTACATGTACATGTACATGTACATGTATTTGTATTTCATTGTTTTATACATGAAACCTTTTAGGTGTTTGCTGGCTTAGAATGTGACGATATTTCATTCTTGCTCTCTGAAGACCAGGTATGTACATTTGTAGATCTTGGTTACCTACATGTACATATACATGTACATGTATATGCATGTACATTTATCTTCAATCTCTTCCTCTAGTTCAAGAGTTTGATGATCACTCTGGATTCTTACAGTCGTCACAACCTGAACCAGAAATACTTGAAGTATAAACCGGTTGGACGGGTTTCTGATGACGCCCGGGGCTGGTGGATGTATGCTTATAAAGCTGTCGTGGAGGAGACCGTGTCTAGAAAAATGAACATGACATCTTGGAAACACATGAAAGAACACAGGTATACTTAATCTCTCTCTCTCTCTCTCTCTCTCTCTCTCTCTCTTTCTCTCTCTCCCCCCCCCTCTCTCTCTTTCTCCCCCCCCCCTCTCTCTCTCTCTCTCTCTCTCTCCCCCCCCCTTCTCTCTCTCTCTCTCTCTCCCCTCTCTCTCTATTATTATTATTATCATCATTTGTTATTATTATTATTATTAGGGATATTTGTAAGTTGTATGTGAAGAAATATCACGAGAAAGAGACTTCGATTAATCCTTCATCTTCGCTAATAAATGAAATTGAGGTACCAAAGCTTGTATACATGTACATGTACATTGTGTATTATTATTTATTTATTTATCCATGATTTTACATGTACATGTATATCTTCATTTGTAGAGACTAGAAGACAAGCTGGACGTATTTAACATCATACACTGCAGGAAATTAGCAAAGAAATTGGTACTCTAATTAATGCACATGACATTTCCAATTAATGCCCGCTTCTATATTAAAATAGAAAAGAAAACAGCACGGCTCGCAACCTCTCGTTAAACAAGCCACACCCACTTCTCAATCCTCGATAACTAAGTCTGGACTTAAACCTGTGACTCCAAGTCTTGGTGCCACACCTCCCATCACGCCCACATCCTCATTAACGTCCTCAGTTTCCAAAACTAAGGATTTACCTAAAAAGGAGAAAAAGGATAAGGGTGACAAGAGTGGAAAAGGGTTTTTGTCTAAATTTCGGAAGAAAGCAAAAGAAGAGATTTCGGTTCCTTTAAAAGCTCCTTCCCTAGCCCCTCCCCCTGAAGTATTACAGGCTGATCAAGAAAGAGATGATGATATTGTTATCATTTCGGAAGAAGAAGGTACGATATGTACATTTACATGTACATGTGCATTTACTTGAGCTAAAGATATTTAGAATTTGGGAGACCAGTCTACATGTAACTAAAATGAGAGACTTAAGGACACAGACCATGCAAATATGAGACTAAAACTCTCTAGATCCAACAAAGACTATTAGAATTATATTATTTTATATTACAGTGTATGTACATGTAGATTGTCATTTGCCATTTTTATGTACATGTACATGCATGTACACATATTGAGAATTTTTAATTGATTTTTCTGCTACAGTTCAAAAAGCGAAGCAAGAGTTTTACAAGACGATAGGATATTCCGAGGATGAAGGAGTACCAGAGTATCCTAGAGAAGTAATATAATCCACACTTACAAAATAACACACTAACTCTTCCCTCTCTCTCTCTCTCTCTCTCTCTCCCTCCCTCTCTCTCCCCTCCCCCCTCTCTCTCTCTTTAGTATGTTGCTCATCACATTGAAGTATTGCTGAAGAAAGTCACTTTTGTTCTCCGGGGAAAGGATAAAAGGTAAAGTATGTAGCCCTAGACTCTAATTTTTATTACATTTTCTAATACATATTGATGTACTTATGCTACATAGAAAGTTTGAGCTGATTCCGACTTCAATTTTTCGAGTTACGGCCATTTTAAGAAATGAGCCAAAATCTGAAAAGTACCCAAGGCTATAGCCCATGGTTTTTTCCAAAAAATGGCTCCGAAATCACCCCCAATTTTTATTACATTTTCTGATACATATTGATGTACTTATGCTGTGTAGAAAGTTTGAGCTGATTCCGACTTCAATTTTATGAGTTACGGCCATTTTAAAAATTGAGCCAAAATCTGAAAAATACCCAAGGCTATAGCCCATGGTTTTTTTCCCAAAAATGGCTCCGAAATCACCCCCAATTTTTATTACATTTTCTGATATACATGTATATTAATGTACTTAAGCTCTATGTATATATCTATGTTCAGGTTGGCTGAAGTATCAACTAATGAAGTGAGGGCTAAAGTGCTGAACAGACCCACTTCAGAATCAGTGTGGTGAGTGCTCTTTAATT